TTTGTATCTTACGGCCCACTGCCGAGAAAAAACTTTTTTTTTCTAACGCCGTCATGTCGCGTCAGTATTAAGTGATATCAATACAAGAGAACATATACTTATTCTCTTGGCAATATGTCATATTGGTCTTCAAAATTCTCTTGCCGAATCGTTTTCTCTTTTTTTTTTTTGTACTTATGTTTTAGTGGCATAATATCATGATTTTGGTTAGGAAATAAGAACAACACCGATGGAAAACCAAAATAAACAAAACAAACTGATAAAACACGTATTTGCTGCAACAAAGTCAAAATTTATAATTATTCTTCCACAATATGCCGATATAAAGGACATAGAATCACTCTGAAGCAAGAACTTTTCAATGCTTCATTTTCAGCAAGGAAAAACCAAGCAATATTAGGTAATCCCTACGGCGCTAATTCATACACTTACAGAAATTTCAAGTAAATCATTTGAAACCGTTCAAAGTTGGTCCAAATCGCACGATTTTAAGAGATTGAAGACAAGAGTAAACCACATGTGCAATAGTCTGTAACAAAACAGACTGAAATGTTTTCGACAGACTCAATTAGGCTGTTTCAAGCTTCTCGATCACTGTATATGCCACGTGTATGTCCATAAATAATCTTCGTGTTCATCGACCGAGTGTACATAAAAGTCACTACGTTTTCCCTTTGCCAAAAGTCATGAAAGGAAATCAGTCTAAAAGCAAACATAAGCGATGCCGTCCACGTTTACGTCATATGGTGTTCTTAGCTATTTCCTAGTGCCCATCATAAGATTTACATATATCATCAATGACAAAACTATTTTTCTTTGATGAATCTTACTTTAAAACCCGTGTCATCTCTTCTTCTCAGAGAACATCACAAGTATGCAATAATTGCAAATGTCAGGGCTTAAAATCTCTTAAAGCTCCTTCATTCTGATTCTAGAAGTATTTCAGTCGCTTAAGACGTAAATATACACGCACGGAGACAGCGAAATGCTGAAAAAAGCCACCGGAAAAAATTTCCTTGGCACGCTTTACTCGGGTTTTTAAAAGGTTGTGTCATACGAACGAACTTGATGAAAATGGAACTGGATAATGTTGCCAGTAAAACGATATTGCATTGGCAATATATAAAAATTATTGGCAGAAACAGAACAATTTCAAAAACAAAAATCGTTCCAGCTATTCCGCAGTCGTGGAAGAAGAAAGAAAAATAGGAAAAAAGATAAAAAAAAGACACCCGTGTGTTTTTTTCGTGTGTGCGTAATTATTTCTTACCTTGTATTAAATACATGGACATTATTTCCCAGCAAGGCTTCGGGGGGTCATTTAACAGTTCCACTGCTCAATAGAATTCTTTTCAAATATTTTGGGTAACTTTGGGATTAAAACAGTTTATCGAAAAAATATTTCACTCAGGGAGTCTTTCTTGTATCTGCGCGTGATCACAGTTCAAAAGTAGAGTAGGCGTTACAATTTGGAATGACTAAAAACCGCAAGAATAAAGGAACCTAGCTACAAATCTGTCGACCACTTTATAAGAGTATAACTTGAATTCACTTGGAAACTGCATCACTGTTGTGAGACAACTTCTTTGCGACTAACTAAAGTCCGATTCGACTCGATGATTGAAACATATCCTGTTTAAACTGTTTAGTTTACATCCCTACTGCGCTCGCCTTGAGAGTTGCTAATCACAATTAGCTAATCGTCCAACGAAAACCCGCATCTTTAAAAATATCATTCATAATTTAAGACGTTAAGACTTGAAGATGATTGATATCCATGTATATCGGTTGCCATAGAATTTCAGGTATTACACGAAGTTACAAAGACCAAATTTAAAGGCTCATGCTAACACATATCTCTTTTCATATAGCTGTACATGTTTTCCAGTGTATATGATCGATAAATAAGTATTTGAAAACAAAGCCATTGACTCATCGCTTCGTAACAAGTCAACATCACTTAGAAGTTAGATTGAAAGCTCGCTAATTTTAGCAATGATCTATCATGTTTAAAAACATAACATACATTGATAAAATGGCCGAAGTTTCTTTAATTTACAGCCAACTAAGACAATTTTTGGAAAGCCAAAAATAAATTTTTAATGAAAATAGAACACAGAAAAGAAAAGAAGCTAGAAAATTCTCAGAATTTTGACAGTGAGATTGCGGTGCTATTACATAAGTTGTTCTCTCTCTAATTCAACATAAAAAAAGAAGAAAAAAAGAATAATATTCACAACTGTAATATCAAAGTAAGTACCGTTCGAATGATTTTACAAGAATTGATCCCCTGATCCCCGTCTGAGGTTGACATCTGTCTGAGGTAGACATCTACCACTCGTTTAGTCCTTTAGACGAAAAATATTCAAACATATTAGCGATTAAGTTAAGACTCTTTTTCAACATTTACAACTACTTTCGAGCAAGTAGGGTAGTAGAGTACGGCAATTTTTTTTAGGAAAAGACTGACAGATGACAAAAAAAACACACAAATCTGTGAATTATGTTGCTCAAAAACTTCATTTTCAGAATAATTCGCGGAAAGTTTTGAATAGCGCGCGGGAATTTTGACGCCATCTCCGCGTGCATTCTTTCCATACCGATGTATGTGACGTCACCCGCGAACTGACATCGAGCTCGAGAGATCTTGAGCAATGTTGCCTAGTTGTGTGGCGTTTCCGGAGTAAATCTTGATACTTCAGCTGTTTAAGCCATGTCACAGCTTCATCAAGAAGCCTTACGAAGACAACATGTCGTTGATAAAAGAAATGTTAATGATTTGTCTTGGCTGGTGAGTACAAACAGTCAATTACGAGCTTCAGTACTTTTTGCGATGAACTACCAAAAGATAATCTCTAGTTCGGAGGTACAAAATACATGACATGTTTCAGGCCAGAGGAAACAGCGATTTTGCGCTTGTTGCTGGTTTTGTTACGTCTTTTTTGCAGATAAATGCAAAGCTGAACCATACTTCTTAGGATTACATTTCTCTCTCAAAATTACAAGCGTTTGTGTAGGACAATGCACGGATTACATGAAAAACTTCAATGATTGTTTTATGAGTGCGTTGCAAACTTTGTGCATGTGATTGAAGTCTGATGAATTCAACTAGTAGCGTAGGTTGTTACGTCTTTAAATTCTACAAATTGCCTTACGCTGCGACTGAAAAAAAACTTAATTACTTTCAAATTACAGGGAAATCTTGTATATTTGCATTCTGATAAGCATGATTAACTGTCACCGCTAGCGTTAAGTTGTAGTATAGTGTTGACAGCACAGACAATTTTAATTGCAAATACTCAGTCCAGGGAGTATCTCTCTACTCAAGGGTTTTCAGTTTCAAATGAGCAAATAAAAATTGCTTGCTATCTCTTCTCAATTTTCTTACTTTGATAGTTTTACACAGATAATTAAAGTGATGTATTTGGTTTTATCAGCTGATAATGTAAATTGGCTACCGTAAAGAGTTTCAAAGCTGAGGTTTCAAGTGTTAGTCCTTCGTCAGAGCGACTGAGTCGAGGTTCTTTACTTGATGATCATTTCCTTTTTTCTCATGACCTCAATGTGTGATTCAGAGGTGGTGTTGTTGGGAAAATTTAGATGCTGATCACTTTTAAGAGTCAAAGGGTTAATCACTAGTAGGGTATTGAATGTGTGTGTGAAGTAAAAGGAGACTGATAGAGTACAGAATAGCTCCTCTATATCTGAGTTTTTTTTGTATTTGTTCTATAACCAAGGCTATTAAAATTTAGCCAGATAGTTCTATGAAGTAGACAAAGAATGCTCTGATCTTCAATCTCTTATGAACATGCTGTATCCACTTGTTCCCTTTCAGTTGCCGAAGGACAGAAGCAGTCAAAACCTACACAGTCCTTTCAGTTCTGGCATGAGAAGTATTAACAGTCCAAACTCTTTGCGCCATGGTTTAGCCATGGGCAGTAGTCCTGGCTCCAGGAGCAAGGAAATTGTTATCACTGACCCTTACTTAGATGCAATAACCAAAGAAACAAAAGCAAGAACTCAGAATAGATTTTCGGTAAGTCTAGTCAACAAAGTTGTGAAGGCAGTGCTGGGCATCACTTTCATATGCAAAATTCAATTGTCAAGCTTTACGCAAAGTTTAAGAAGTTTTTGTCAAGCAATTTAGTAAATATGTCTACCATTGTGATAGTTCTGTGGTTGTTTATAGTAATTATGGAAGGATCACATTTCTGCACATACTCAAGTTAAAAGTAACTGAGGTTGAGATACTGTGAAACAACTTTGAGTTTGAGAAATAACATAAGAAAGACATATAAGAATTTTATGCTTTGATAGTCCATTTAGAAAATCTTGTTGCACTTTTATCTCAAGTCAACAGATTACATGATGCAGTGGTGAAGAAAACAGGGCAGACAGTGATACAAAGGATGTTATTAATGGTGTTGTTTTCTGGCATATAACTTCAGACTCCAGTCCAGTTGAAAGAGTTTGCACATTTTGTGTTGTTAAGTTGATTGTCAAAAACCTTAACCCTACGAGACTGCTTGTTACTTTTGTGTGATTTGAAAAGAGCATTCAGGAAATTGCACTGCAAATATAACAGAATTTTGTGGAGAATCGTAACACAAAGATTTAATTTTTGTAACATGTATGTCATGTTACATTAGCTTTAAATTTTGTAAATATCCTGAACTGATACTCTCAGTTAATGAAGTGTATTATTATTTGAAAAAAAAAAATTGAGAAAGAGTGAGTGTGTTATTATATACTTTATTTTGAATTTATTTTTGTTTCTCTGAGAAAAAATAAAGGAATTTTGATGTGCTTAGCCATTCAAAATAGCTTATCACTAATAGCTCTTTTATACTGTGGCAAAAACGTGCATGTAAATATAATATATGGCAAAAAATAACTGAGTCACATTGTTATTAATTTTATTCATAGTTATTTATTTAATTATTGAGACATTTTGTCAGCAACATCAATTAATTTTCTCGTTTTGAAGAAAAGGATAAGAGTTGAATAACAAGAATTTTTTTTTAATTGCATTCACGAGACACATCAGCTTTCTTTGGTATTTAACTGGATGAAGTGAAGTGTGCAGAAAGTCTTACTTTAACAGTCTATAACAGAGATGTCAACAACTTTGAAAGTTTTTAAAATGTCTTAAGTTTCAGATCACAGAATGCCAGCTAGAACAAAAGAAATGAGATAAAATGGTTGAAAATTACTGAACAAATTTACCATTTGAACTCACATATGCAAAGCAGTCTTACATAAAACAATAGGAAAGAAAAATATAGTTGCCACCAAACATGAACATTTTTTTGTTTATAACGAGTTGACACCCAGAAACTAACCCTACAATATAATTCATTTCTCTGGTTAGATTCAATTTTAAAAGCTCTACTGCTTCCTTGGTTGTTGAATGTGCATTGCTGCAGTCTTTCCTGCGCCACCTGCTGGTCGTTTTTCATGTTGTGGCATGGGCTTCTCATGAGCCACCTTAATAGCATCTGCCTTAAAATCTGCATTCCCCTTTGTCAATACCCCTGAAACAATAACTTTCTGATCAGAGGCCCTGAAATAAAATTCGACAATTGTTAATTCTTTTCATCAACAAGTGAGTACTATATAACTTTCAAGCGATATCACAAAATAGGGAAAAGTAGACGAGAATTCTGTACACTTTTCTAAATCAAAGTAGTCAGTCTGGCTATGAAAATCAAAACATATCAAACACATAGCCTCAGCTGAACAAATTTTAGCTGCTTGAAGAAACATGTCTGCTAAATGCTCCAAAACTCAAAACTACTCTTTAAGTTCTTAGCGAGATATTTGCCGTAAACTTTAAAATATTTATTATCATGGCTATAATTAACTGTAACGCAACACAACAACAATTTGGCAAAATAGTCACGCAACAAACGTGAAACACGGCACGTGGGGAAGGGACAGAGAGCGCTCGAGTTAAAATTCGCAAGAATTATTTCACAACCTTTAAAAATCCTTTTCTCGGAACAATGAAATGAATTATGTATAGTTGAAACGTTAAAATTGTTGGTGAAAGTTGTACGGTGTACGCAAAACTTCGGAAATTATTCGTTACACGTATCTGTACATGAGAGGACGAAACTTGTACACACATATGGGGACTCACTTTTCTTTAGGCTCTGCAAATTCTTCCTCCTCGGCTTTCTCCTCAGGTGTTGGTGCTGGATGCTGAGATTGATGATGCTTTGAAGTTATTCTCATTCCTCCTGCTTTAACTACAAAGATTTTAATAACAAAATATAGAATAATTAGCGAATTTTAGCGACCGTCTCTTTTCATGTACGCGACCCAATAACAAATTTGTTTTCAGAAGAAAGTTTTCAACAGACCTGCTGGTGGATGACCAGCTTTTAATTCTTTATCTTTATCTTTCGGAGGTGACGACATAGTGAATAAAGACAAATTTGAACTCCTCGTTTATAATTTAGTTTGCGTGAAATGTCCGTGCATTAGCGAACCCAAATAAAATTACGCGAAGAACTCACCAGCTGAGCTTAATCACGAGGGAGTTTATGCGATTTGTGATTGGTCCTTTCATGTTGCACATGTGACGACAAATAATAATTCTAAATAGAAGTCAACAGAGTTTTTACCCTAGAGAATTCTAATCTTTGCGTAAAACAGATCACTTTTAATTTCAGAATAAAAAAAATTCAGCGTAATTCGTTTACAATAAGCCGTATCAGGCCCTAAATTCAAAAAAAAAAATTATTAAACTATGCCTCCCCTCCCATAAGGAAAAGTTTACTAGTTCCAGTAGTTACGAATAACCTAAACAAGTAACGCCTTGTCGAAATGCAACGTTCTCTGTGTATTTCCCCGCCACGCGTTATTTTTGTCTTCTTTTTTCTTTTAACTTAGCGACTCAAAATGCGGTTAATTAGCCACTTAACCCAATTGTTTATTTTTTTAAACGTAATATCTTTTATTGATTTTTCTGTGAGCTCGAAATCGAAAAAGAGTTCAACTTCGTCGTCGTCGTCGCGGGATTTCTTGGAAAAGGAAGGTAAACAATGGTCGAAAGTGTCCTGCAAAAACATCAAAAAAGATCACATCATGAAACTTAGAGCCAAGAAATCAACTGACCAGCTAATGTCTTGCCTTATAAAGGCTTTGAAAGAGTCAAATGATGCCTTTTTATGGAGTGTTCTTGGGGAGTCATATCAGAAATTACAAGCTAACACTAAAGCAGCGAACACATGCTTCAAGGAAGCTTTAAAGCGAGGTGGAAAATTGTCAAAATTTATACCGAAGTGGCACTTCATTGGACCATTTGTTATTGGCAAGGGAGAGGTCGATGGAGATCCTGTGGAGGAGTGGGGTGGGATCAAGAATATCTCGCAGTACAGATGGGATAAAAAATTTTTTCTGTATTCGGAGCTGGTGCCTGGAGGAGAGATTAAGTGGATGGAAGTCAATCAAAAAGCAGGTGCCGAACCGGTAGCTGTTGCACCACCTGTAAACTGGAATGATTTAGTGATGTCCTTACAATCAATGGGAATAACTGAATGGCAGGGATGGGTCCTAGGAGATTTTTTTGTCAATGAAGATGATGCCACAGTACTGGTGCAATGCCTTGGAGTGCATACTGTATATATTGATGATTCTGTCTTGACAGGAGATGTGTACAGAAGAGATCAGTTTTGGTGAGATAGCTGGTATTTTATTATTATGTTATTGTGAACCCTAAATTCTCCTTACAGCATCTGGGTCATGAGGAAAAAGGAAATGATCACTAACTAAAATATCAACTGGTTATTAACCCTTTACACTTAACTTCAGTATGCATATTCTCTTTACTGTTCTCCAAACATTTTCTAAGTGCTGACAAGGAGAATTTGTTTAACAATCAAGAACTTCTTTAGTTGGTGATCATTTCCTTTATTCTTGTGACCATAATGTTTTCTTCAAGTTGATAATGTAAGGAGAAATTAGATACTTGTCACTCCTAGGGGTTAAAACTGTATATGAAATGAATGGAGAACAGTTTTGAGAATGTGCTTATAGATGTTGAGGTTAAATGGTCTAATCTGCTTCTAATCATTTAAAAAAGACTTAAGAATGATTTTAAGCATAAACAAACTCTGTTTCACCATCATCACTGTTATAAGCAGACACTGTTTCACCATCATAACCATCATAACCATCATTAGCAAAGTATTAAGATCTCAAGTTAACCCTTTAACTCCCATGAGTGATGAAGACAGAATTTCTCCTAACCGTATCAATACAATATCAAGCAGACAAGTGGTGAGAATAAAGAAATATATCAATTTGGGGATAATTAGTAGATCCAATACTAAAATTCTCTGAACTAACATCAAAACAAATTGTATGGTTGACAGTAAAGAGAATTACAAATTTGATCTGGGAGTTACAGAGTTGAATGTCCTTTATAAATATGGTGTTACCGTTTTTCAACTTATAAATTCTTCCTTTTTCATTGCTTTGCTAAAGAAATAATTTTTATAGTTAGACAAGACAACATGGAAGTTATTTTAAAGCTCTGTATAAGTTTCAATGGCACATGGTAATGTCAGTTTTAATTTTACCTACCACATTTTACTCTGAGTGTGTGCTTTCCTCTAGTTTTAACCCTTTAACTCCCATGAGTGACCAAGGCAGAATTTCTCCTTACAATATCAATACAATATCAAGCAGACAAGTGATGAGAATAAAGAAAAATATTAATTAGGAGATTATTAGTTGATCCAATACCAAATTCTCCAAATCAACATCACAAGAACTATATGGCAGATAGTAAGGTGAATTACTAGTAAGATCTTGGGAGGTAAAGGGTTAACTCAAAGTTAGTCTGAGAAGTGGGTTTAATTTTGAATTAATGTGGCTGAGATCTGACACTCTTCCATCCTTCTGTAGGTCATCTATTAAACTATCTCGTGGAATACATACCCTAAAGCTTCGTCTCAGGACCAAGGGATCCATTGCATTCACATATACTATTAAACTTTTAGAGACAAAACAAACATTCCAAGTTTTATCTCCTTCGTTTTTACCTGATCTTGTTGATGGAAAGCTCTTCTCAACATTTATCTCAATTCCCATTAACAATTTACATAGCTCTAATTGGCTAAAAGTGACCAAAGTTTCTACAGTGAAAGAATCTTCTTCGAATCCCCAGTTTTCTGTGAGGCTGACAGCTGAGGACAAAGCTTTTGCTATAGCTCCTGGGCAAGTGCGACCAATTAAAGTCATTCTAGAATACAAAAATGGAAAGCAATATAACTTGGATGACGACACTTGTTCTGATGTGAAACTTTTAATAAAAATTGGCACCAATAAAGGACAAGATCAGAAGATTACAATAAATTTTAGATGCCGCAGAATAAGCCAATCATTTTTGTTTACATTTCTTGACCATGATGCTTCAGTTCAGCATGGTGCAGCCATTGTTCCCTTGGTGTCTTGCCCTTCAGGAGTCTGTCCTGCACTGCTGACTCTGCATGGTACAAGTAGGTGCAAAAAGAGAGTGTTTAAATGTTTAAATGCAAGATCTATTTTATGCAGTCAAATGCAATTTGCCCTTCGTTTGGTGCATTCTTGCATGTGCTTTGAGCATGAACTTGCAGTGTTGTGAGGAGTGGCAGCTCTTCGTCCAGGCAGTTTTCCCCAGCCCTTCTCTCCTTCTTTCCACTGTTTATTCACTATGACAGATGCCTGTTTCCCTTTCCTGTGTGGGGGTTCATGACTAGGTTGCCAGGATTTGCCAGCCGTGGAAGAAATCTCCATCTAGGAGCTGGCTGCCAATAGTGGAAGCTCTTGGATGTTTCAGGCACTCAGCCTCCACTTAGTGATGCAGTTGTTATATAGAATTAATTGTTCAAATGTCTAATATTCTGGACTCAGGATCAAGAGGTCTAAGTAAATACTCTGACTATGATAATTTTAGGGTTAGATCTAGGGATTTTTGAAAGGTTGGGAATTTTTCTTCACATTATGGCTCAAATCAGCCAAGAAATATAGCAAGTTGAAGTAGTTATTCACCTTCCTCTTGCAGCTGTGCCTCCACAAAATCAAGCTGACAGCTACAAACGAATGGAGAAGGGGAAGTGGGTGTTTGGTGTTGACCATCTGTGGCTTGTGGCACCCACCAGACATGGGGCTCATAACTGGGAGGGGCCTGGAGAGCTTACGGCTATGATGGCCCTTAGAAGCTTAGCCAAGCTCACAAAAGATGCTCCATGGATTGGACCTCAAGCTGATGCAAACCAAGTTGTGTTTGCAGGGCATTCCATGGGTGGACATGGAGCATGGTAGGACGTTTAACAATTGCGAAATACTTGTGGAGATAAGGGATAAATTTTAGATCCTATCAAGGGGTTGTGGGAGGTGCAATGGCCGTTGTGTTACCATGCTGGACTGTAAAAGTGAAAGGGTTAGTTTTGAGCTTTCAGTGGCTAGGGTCATTGCATGGTGCTCTTTAGTTTTTTTGTCCCTAGCGTCTTCTGCACCCTGGGGTACAACTAGAATCAGAAATTTTTCTCAGGTGAATTTGACTAACTACTGGGTTTACCTGTTATAGACAAGCAGATCAATATGGAACTAGTAACAAAGTACTCCAAGAAGCTGTGGTGAAGTCCTCAGTTTCTGCTCCCCAACACAATCTGATTAGTTTCCAACTTCCCATCCACCACATGCAAACAAACCACACTTAAAGGTTTACATTTCCATATGATTTTATATTCCCTTCACTGGATTTAACAAGGTTTTTCTCTAAAAACTGACAAGCACATGCTCTTTGAAAATTGCAATAAACCCATTCATGTAAAATTGTATGAAACCTACTCCTGTTGTTTGGACATCATCTTCCACTGCCAATCTCTGTCACTCTGGGCTTACATTCTACATTCGCTTCTGGTCAGTGATTAGTAATCAAATGATCAAGACAAACATAAACAATGAGAATAGTAACAATTTGACAAAGCTTTGTGTTATTGGAACAAGGAGTAGTCCCAGACTACCCCTAGCTGCTCTATGCTACAGGAATACTTGGATAAACTGCAAGCTGTGGCTATGAGCTATAAACTTCAACAAGGCCACTGAGTTCCCTCTTCTCCACTTTTTTTTCACATCAGGCAGCTTGGTACCCACTATCCAGACAATGCCCTGGCCTTAGTTTCGGCAGCTGGTTGGATCAAGAAAGAAGATTATGGAGACTCCAACTTGTTCTTCCGTCATGACATCAGCACAAGTCACACCTCTCCTTCAGTGAAGAGTATACTAGAGGCTTGTTCTGCAGAAAATGATGCTGATAAGCATGTAACAAATTTACATGTGAGTTTCCAGTTTTCAGCGTCTCTCATTTGGGGTCTAACATTATTGCTCTTTTAAATCAATTAAATAATTTCAAACAAAAATTTTATGCCACAAAATTACCAATAAGAACCATATTGTAAAGCATATTAAATGGTACCACATGAAAGAACTGCCCAGTAGCCTAATTGTTTGTCAATGAGTGGTCACATTTTTGGGTTTTATCCATAGACATAAATTTTAGAACCATCTTGCACAGTATAAATAAACAATACTACTTGGGAGTACTTTGTATAAGTAACTTATAATTGAATTGTTACATGCACCCAAGGATTTTATCCACAGTTTCAAAGTTAGATCCACCTTGTGCAGCATAATAAACAGTACCACATCAAAAGAATGTTAAGTAGCTTCATTTGAATGGTCACACACTAGAGTTTTTAATTGACAGACTTAACTGTTTATGCCCTAACATCAACTTATGCATATTCCCCCTCCTTTTCTCCAAACATTTCCTAAGGTGCTGAAAGAGAGAATTTGTTTCACAACCAAGAACCATTTATATTGGTGATTGATCATTTCCTTTATTCTCATGACCTTAATGTGTGATTCAGGGGTGATATTGTACAGAGAAATTAGATGCAAGCCACTTCACTGAGACAGTATAGTAAAGAGTGCTTCATAGAACTACTACTACTGAGTCACTTCAACTTGTAGTTTTTTGGCAAGTACTGTATGATTCAGGAGTAAAGGAAGATAACATCCCAATTTGATTTCCAGGGAGTGCCAGTTATGATAAGGATTGGAGCAGCTGATAGGACAGTGCATCCTTATTTCACACGTCGCATGTTCCGTCTTTTGCGGGAACAGAGGACCAATGTCACGTACTCTGAGATAGCAGACAAAGAACACTGGTGGTGGGATACATACAAGACAAATGATGGAGGCGT